CGATGGAGTTTTTCTTAGCCAGGAACTAGGAAAACTGGGGGAGTAGAAACCTAGTTCGACGTTTGCTTGGTCTATTTACTTCTATGGCCTGTTTGGATAGGAGTGATGAGACAGCCTCTTTTATCTTTGGTAGTTGTTGCGCGTAGTTGTATGTCGAACTTGGGGGTTTGATTGTCACGGAGGCTTGTCCTGTAGAGGGATCACGAAATCCGTGTTGAATAATGTTGAGACGTCAAGGATCTTGCAGTATTCCCCAGTTTTCCCAGTGTAGTTGGAGGTCCACCCACCTGAGCTGGTTGTACTGGAAGCGGCTGGGGTGGAAGACTCAGTCGTTCCGAACCTGTGTTTCAGCGTCCTATAATTTAAGAACCTCTGGGTGTCCTGCCTCTTCCCTGATCCTCCTCTATAGTTTGCCATATGGGTGATCTTGGTATCAAAAGAATCTTTACCTCTAGAGCTGGCTATCTTCCTGTCTCTCTCTTGCTCTTTGTAGGCCCGTGAACTTAGATCTGCCTGAGTATCTTTGTGAAGTCTGACGAATGACGCTGGCTAGTGTGTCCATCGATCTAATCATAAGGACTTCCCTGGAATCCTTAGAGACTTCCTTGGCGCACCTTGTCGATTTCTCCGTCAAAGATGGATGTTATTCCACCACGGGCTGTATAAAGTGGGGCTGTAAAGTTCTCCCAATTACAGGAGGCGGAGGAGGCCTTGACGACGAGCTAAGGTCAGTGCTGCTGAAACAGATGTAAGATGATCCGCTAAAACTGCTGATCTTTCTTTTGCATAAGTAAGGCAGAATAAATCATTCTATCATCTTCCATTAGGTGGAATCCCGAGATCTAGTAATAAGAGTCTCATTGATCGCCCCTAGAATCTATTTAACCCAAAGAACATAATCGCGTCTCGTCATGGTTTCTATATGAGCCAACTCGGCGATCATCCATCTTGTAAATCTTGTTCTTTACATCGCTGATGATCTTATAGTTCTCATCGATGTCCTGGGCCTTGTAGAAGGAGTCCATGTTATCGTGGAGAACTTCTTGGCTTGGAAGAGGTAGATGTGGTATCTGAACTTTTAGTAGCTTTCTGGAAAGCTGCATCTAGATTCTGTGGCACTGCCGCCAATCGGCTTCGATCGGGGTGAGTGATTGCATCTGGATCATCTTCCTTCATCAAAACACGCCTGAGCTGTATTGCCACTTTTAGATGGTGATGTGAGATCTAGGTTATTGACCATCAATACCGCATCTCTGCATCAGAAAATATGATTCCTCCATCATCCTCAAAACCATCATCATTAATAAATTGTAGATGCTCTTCGGGACCGCGCGTGTAGCTGTCTGTATATCTGATGAGGTTTGTGGCGATCTAGTTGACTTGTGCGCTCTATGTGGAGATCTGATGGGTGATCGAATCTGGTGATGAACTTGAGTGGAGATCGCGTCTATGGGATGATCTTCTCGAGACTTGTGAGGTGAATGTTGATAGCTTCGCATGGCTCTTCGGCAGTCCCCTCGATGTTCTTCTAGGCGATGAAGATCTGGAATCATATGTCGCTTCGCGAATGCCTTCGAAGCTTCATTTGGCGATCGGTCCGGGGATGCGATGATATGACCTTCGAAGGCTTCCGTGATGTCTGATGGTCTGAGTCCATATCTAGAGATGAAATCGAAGATGGTGATGATCTCTCCCGCCTTCGGCTAAGGCCTTAGCTAAGGCTGTACATCAGGTCCTTGCCGTCAAGGTGGTGCGGGACTTCCTTCGAAGGTGACATCGAATCTTGGCTGCTACGTTGGACGGAAGTGCCTCTGGGGTGCTGTCTACGTTGGAGCCTTCGCTAACTGCTCGGACTGCTTCTGCAGTTTGTAGTAGTCCTCCATGATGTTCATAATCTGCCGATCATGTCTTCTGGGATGATCTGTGGCGAAGCCGCGTCGGCGTCTTTTCTGCGATGGGGTTCACATCAATGGCGTCTGATCGCCGTGTAGAGGCATCAGGCTGCATGGAGATCTCTGCAGAAGTCACAGTAAGCTGACACGGTCGCTTCTTCTGCGTAAGTCGGTCGGGGATGATTATCGGCTGATCATCGAGAGGCCCAACTCTGCTGCTGGAACGATCCGGCTGAAAGTTCTTGCTGTCTTCGTAGATTCCCTTTGGAAGTCTGCGCTGCCCTGGTGTCCTCAATCTGCGTTGAGACGGACGATGAGGCCCTCTTAGACTTAGTCTGCAATGGACGGGATGTCTGGGAGGCGGTCGTTTCTTCGAGGTAACGGACTTCGCCCCCGCTCCTCTCGCCGCAGGGTCTCTAGCAGAACACCAGACGGGAGAGGTCGATCGCCAGCAGCTGACTGGAAGGAATATCTGGACTCTCTGCCATGTTTTGCCCTTGTTTGTGATCTATCTGCAGCACGCCTTAAGACGAAAGATGATATTTATTAAATGCAGAATGAGATAAATTAATGCAGTAACTGGCGTGAATTAAACGCACGGCGAGAACAACTAGGGCATATTACATGTGGATCGGAGGCAGAAAAGCGTAATCTAAATCGTACAGATTTTCATGAGCGATAAAGCTAGCTGAACAATCACGAATACTGCGTGAATAAACAGTAGAAATCACGATAATTAATCAATACAAATAGTAAAGGATACTAGCTATACCTCTATAGTAACCTATGAGAGGTAAAAAACTAAGAGATTATCAAAGGATATGTGTGTAAGGAGACACAAGGCGCTCTCACATCCTGCTCACTGGGCGAAGAAGGAGAGAGTGGAGCACATGGCCAGAGGGTGGCGACACCTTTTCCCGCCAGGGGAGACAAAGGGGAGCAACTCGTGGTGAGTACCAATTAGTGATTTTATTTTGAAGGGAGCTTCAAATAAGGAGATACAAGTGTTCCACTATGTTCGCAAGAAGAAGAAGACAAGCAAAAGAGCATGAGTCAGGATAAGGAAAAATATAATAACTTTTATGCCGAAACTATTAAGGATGTAGCTACCATGCAGTCTCACTGTCACTATAAAAAGAAACAGATAGGAGGGGTCGCCTCAAAAGCAAAACCTGGGGTCGGGCTTGGGGATAGATATATCAGCTAAGATAAGATAATCCTTTAGAGCAATTATACTGGGGAGGTACACGGCACGTCATAACAATTTACAAATAATATCCAGTCCTGTCGATCTTCGGGTGGTCATGCCACCTATATACTACAAGCGTTTCTATGGTTTTCGGGTATCATACTCTCTTACATATCTCAACATAAATTTTATGAAAGACACGTAAGATGTTAATCAGTAGATGAGACATAGTCAACACACATGAAAAAGCACAAAATATCTTTGAGATGACCCCTTGTGCCTGTAGGCAGCACGTGCATTTCATGCCAGGTGAGTCAACGGTCCGCCGTCATACCTGGCTGAGCGACCTAATTGCCATCTATAGTCTGATCTATTGTTTTCAGCAGCTATTCGTATTTTTGGGGGGGTTTTGCCCAATTTTACGAGTAAACATGCATTTCTGGATATCGTATTACGCATCCCACTGAACGCCCAGTTAGGCCGAAGTGGGTTATTTCGACATATGCTATTTGCAATTGTGTCAATTTTAGGGATACAGAGTAACAGCCTAAAAACAGTTTTTTTCTATTTCCGACAGTACTATAGTGCTGGTATTGGCATACAACCTGCGATACGATGCACGTCACGATACTAAAACTTTAGTCTCGACGATATATTGCCAAAGTATTGTGCACAGAAGAAGCGATACGATACGAATCCCGATATAAGGGTGGCGATACGATACGTATCACGATACTAAAACCTTTAATCCTAACACTAACTATAAAACACCGTAAGATCAAAACAAAACCAGTTTTAAAGTGTTTCGTCAAATTCTGCCAGTGTCGTTCAATGTTCATTCATAAAGGAGATATATAATTCAAGTTTATACACAGACTTTGTGAATGTTGATAACATGCGAGCACTATGACTGACACAGTTCTTGATGCAAGAATTTCCGAGAAAATGTTTACTTATGAAGGGAAAATAAGTAAGCATATATTTAAATCATCAAGCAAAACTAAGGTTTTTTTCTTGACAGATATCGCAATTTCGACAATTTCAAAGTTTAACATTGATGTATTGTGGCCCACTTGAAGTATCATATCTGGATATACCACATTGTAAAACTTTGTATCGATTCACTGTATCGGCGGCCCATGGATCGATGCGTATCGATGAATCATCACACCACTATGATTGACACGTCATCCTATGCCAATTGCGTAGATCGATGCTCATGCTGTTGATCACTGGATTGTCTGGTCCTGACTAGATTATTTACAGACTGCCACCATATAGCTGGAATATCGGTGAGTGCGGCGTAAAACTAAACTCACTCACTCACTCATAACAACCCACTCAACTGTTGGCCGACGACGAGATGATGCAAACATGGACAAGCGTCTATAAGAGTAACCCAGACATGTGACACAGACAAAATGTGCCTCTGCTACCCAGAACTGAATGGGATGTGGGCATAAAAACCTTCTACTGCCTGTCGACAGCATTCGAAATACCTGCCTGCCCGACTGCCCGGGATGGGTTATTTTCAACACGGACTGCCTGATTCTCAAATTCACCTGCCCGACTGTTGGGTTAAAATTTAGACAAGTATATGAAGATATTTTGTGGGCAGGTAAGTTTTGGTCAGGGCTGGCAAGTTTTACATCTAACCAGCACTGTGGTTTTGCTGAAACTTTTGTGAGTTTCATACCCTGCTGAAGACAACATGGGCTGTACACTCCCTGTGAGGGAGTTAAGATTAACTCTACTGTATAGGGATCCACTGGTCAGGGAACGATTACAAACTGTATTTGAGAAGAGATGTATAAAGTATATAAATGTATAATATAAAATAATGCCCTAGCCAGTGTCTGAACTCTAATGACATTCAACATGCACATCGGGACATAACTCAGCCTTAGTTTAAACCTCACCTTTCCTGTGGAAATCTGTGACAATCAAGCTGCATTTCTGGCGGCCTGATGAGGGGGCGGAGCTTGACCGAGAACTGGTCCCGCTTTCCCCATGACTCCCTAATGCTGTAATGTTAACACTGATAAATACCTGATCTTAAGCATGTGAAGTACAATAGTATCACACATACACACATGCAATATTACATGGATTTATCAAGGAATCAAGCTAGGGTTCCTTTTAGGCAATCTGGGGAAAAAAGTTGTTATTTTGCACAAAACTTGGATTTGTTTTAAAGTTGTTTATTCACAGGTTATTGAAATTGTGTATACTGCAATAGTATACAATTAGCACAGTGTATCTTTCTCTTCTCTTCTCTCTTCTTGCAACAATACAGACAGGAAAAACCATAATGACAATATGGATATTTTAACGAAATTTGCTGCCGGCTTGGGGCAGACTATCGTCCTGGATAATCCAACAATTCAGTGACAAAAGGGTATATTGACATTTTATTAACTGTCATAGAAACATTAATGAAACTTTGACTGGGATGCCATGAATATTGAAACTTTAAATAGAACTTGAACTTAAAAGTAAACTTAAATCTCAATGAAGTATACTTGGCGTAGTCATGTCACAGTATTGTTACCATATTTGTAATGGTTTATGTAGCAACCATAATGAGCCTCTTGCAGTGACTGACTGACTGAGTTTAGTTTTACGCCGCTTTTAGCAATATTCCAGCAATATCACGGCTGGGGACACCAGAAATGGGCTTAACACATTGTGCCCATGTGGGGAATCGAACCTGGGTCTTCGGCGTGACGAGCCAACGCTTTAACCACTAGGCTACCCCACCGCCCCTCTTGCAGTGAGTAAGCGAGTGTAGTTTAAGCATTGTTCCAGCAATATCACGGTGGGGAACACTAGAAATGGGCTTCACACATTGTACCCATGTGGGGAATCGAACCCAGGTCTTCAGAGTGACTAGCAGATGCTTTAACCACTAGGCTACCCATCCACCCCCTGAGCCTCTTGTAAAATAGAGCTTATTGTCACTGTGGCTTTATTTGCACTATTTGCAGTCCCAAACCCCTCACAATAGAATCACCTCGCCTAACTGAGTAGATTTGACATTTGCATGATGAGTACAAACAGAATACCAATCAGAAAACGTCTCTTGCTGCTGTCACGCATTTCCCCCTTTGTATCATATATCTTTCATAACTGTAGTCCTGTCAATGATTGTAAATCAAATCCTGTGTATTTCAATAATCCATTGAATATTCATTCACCTCTTGTGTATATCTATTGATTTCAGTACCATATTATGTACCAGTTAACCAGCCCTTTCAATTTGTTATCAACATGTAACAGAATGGCATGTATAGATAAATGTGTTGAGTTGTACAGCTTCGACATGCATAGTTTCCTATGTGGCACACAAGATGCAGTGATGGAGAGCCAGTTTATCAGGTGAAGTTATACAGTGTCAAGTTAAGTTGTGAGGTATAGTTATGAAATTCATGCTGCCATGCTTTAATACACAGACAAGATTCCATTTGTAAATGAAATCTATAATTTGATTAGCTGTAAATCCTGTGTAAGTTTCAGAAATAGTGAAATATACTTTTACTAATCAGCATGTTCAATGACTTCAGTGTTGCTAGGATACGCATTCTTCCAGGTACAAACTTAGGATCTGTTTGTTCAGATTTAAAAATCACAGCATAAATTATGCTAGAAGAATCTCCTAGATAGAAAGTAGTTTTACATGCTCTGTACCCATGCAATGAGCTCACCATCTTGCATCCAAAATGAACAATTTGGTATGGGACACCTCCGTGTTAAAGTAAAACACAAAATACTAGAACATTTGCTGCAGACCAGAAGAGTCACCTTTAGTCAAAGGTAACTGACTGTTCCACAAAAGGGGGTGGGACTCTTTATGTCTGAATTTCCTGTCATCATGTCTCCATCAATGATTGTCTCCAACAACTACCAATCATAATCAAAACACTGGAATTATTTAACCAGAATGACCAATTCGCTGTGTGCACATAATTACCACCTCCTACGCCCATAATCACAAAATACCCTCTGTCCAACATATCAAAATATGTCGAGGCAAACAATTTAACAATCCCAACAAAAGACTAACAAGCTAATTAAGCATATTGAACATATTTTTGAGTGAACAAAATATGAAAATGTCGCCATCATCCTACTTTCATTCCTGGGGACCCGAAACCTGGAAACATCCCATGGGAAAGGTGAGTTGTTCTCACAGGAGTTGTGATGATAGTACTCATTCCAGCTGGGCACTACTGGCAAACACAAGACAAGGAAACAAATGTTAGGCTGAAAATAAAGGTTGTGGTTTCAGGTCAATAGAGTGAATGTGGAGCTTCATGCTGCAATCAGCCATTCCAGCTCTAAAAGAGGGGAAACGCCAGAAATTGGATTGCAACTACATCGTGAACCAAACCAGGACTTCACCAGTTGTTATTCATGACAGTACCATCTGAAGTGGCCAAGTTCTCAAATTAAATAAATATACTGAACAATATAAGTTAGGGACCATGAGGAGTATGTCAGAGGGGATGATTTTGAGTTGAAGTGAGTGAGTTTAATTTTACGCAGCTTTTAGCAATATTCCAGCAATATCATAGCTGGGGACTTTTGTATTGAAGACTAAAAACCAAATTTCATGAAAATATCCAAAACACATCTTATTACAGAACCTATTTTGTTCAGTATACCTGCATTAGTTTTGAAATGATACAGTATTGTATTGCGATATGAGGCTCATGATACAATACAGATATACAACTCCTGTATACCTATACATACGACTCATTACAAGTCGTGTTGATGTAAAAACATGTAAATATAACAGAAACTGTTCAAGAACCAGTTATTGCAGATTCTCTAGCATTTCCTGGTTGGCTATAAATAACAGAACCTGCACTGTGACCTGAAGCTTACATGTTACTCCCTGACAATATCCCATCTTTGCTATCTAAAAATTTGGAAAAAAAAGCATTTATCTGCAAAGAGTGAAAGAATATGAGCTTACAAAATATAAGTGCTTAATCAGGATACAAATCATATTGTGCCCATAATATCTGGATACATATTATATAATGCCCAGCACAGGTAAGATTCCAACCAACCCAGATCTTTCAGGTTCCCTAGCTACTCTAGCTAGTCACCTTTTGGTATGCCAGGACAGTTTAGTGTAATCTTGATGCACTCATATGGTTGCCTCTTACGATAGGCATGTACTTGAAACAAGTTACATGTGACTTCCAAGATATCCACAAAGCTTTCTGTCTTGAACATTAATCAGAACTAAATAATTATTCTCCTCAGTGAAAAGAAAAGATCTCTTTTAAAATCATAATCATGGTAGCTGTTCTGTTCTGCTTTGAGAACTTCAGCCAAAAAACATCTTTTACTCCTTTTAATGTCTGAAAGAATCAATGAAATCTTTTTGGAACTAGAACATAAATATATGATACATTTTCAAAACAAACAATTGTAAAATGATGTGTAAGTAAAAGGTCACATAGCTCTGTTAGGTGTCAATGGCAGCATTCTTCATGCAGTGTTTTAATGGCATGCTCCTATATCATGTGTGTATACATATAGACAGAAGAAAGTTGAAGAAGATTATGAAGCTATAACATTCTTACTATGTCTTAGTATGTCTACAGTGTTTCTGTAAAACATGCTGCAATTATTTAACCAGTGAAATAGGCAATGTTGAGGAAAATTTTAACCCTATCAGTCCAAAATATTGAATGCACCTGTGTTTTTTAAGTGCTAAAACCAAATTGTCCCTACATTCTAACCTGAATGGAAAAACTGGTCTACTTAATTGCATTGGTTATGAAGAGAGTGAACAAGGAATGTTATAACCATGATGAAGCAAGCTCTATTTTATTAGCTTCCTTGTAAATGTGCCAGGGGAGTAATAAACAAGCATTCGGCTTCTTCTAAAATGTATGACAGTTAAATATGCTAGGAAATTTACAAAGTAACAAGGAGGCTAAGGTTTAACATGTTTAAGACACTGAAACATATTTTAAAACAAATTAAAGAAACACATTGAAGGGATTCAGGCATAAATTTGTCCCAAAAGAATATCAAAGAATAGTTCAACTACAGTATTGCATATCAACATCTGGGATTTCCTGACAGTTCAAAGAAAATGGCTGTGATTGATCCTTTGATTTCTTTTTGAGAATGTTCCAAATTTAATTTACAAGCTCGCCAAAATCACCATACTATGATGACTAACACTGGTTCCAGCAAAATCACGGCAGGGGACACCAGAAAAGGGCTTCACACATTGTGCCCACATGGGGTATCGAACCCGGGTTTTCGGCGTGACCACTAGGCTACCCCACCGCTACAGAATAAACATGAACACAGGGTCAGTCAAAATATCTTCTTGTTGTTGCTATCCTCAGTCTGCTGCAGTTTTTTCTTTCAGTCTACTACTGTAGTGCTATCCCATTTTCTGCTGAAACAGTTGTGAATGCTGAACAAAGTGTCATCTTCCCTACTACCTGTCACCTATTGACTAAGACTGACAAACATACACACAAGAATTTCTAATCGTAAGTCATTGTGATCATCTAGAAAATAGAAGATTACTTGGCCAGGACTCTGAACCTGATTGTATGAATTAAAACTGCATGTGACACCATAGATAATCTCTACCTTTAGATTTATCAACTTTCGCTCATATAAACACATGAGCTCCACTGTTAAGCTGGAGACTGTATTTAACAACAAATGTTTTTTTAACATGAAATATACAATAACCTTTCACTTGACAAAGCATTTTTTTAAATTCTTGTATATGAACAATTGTTCCGTGTTGTAAGCATTCAGAAATGCCTTATAACGCTTTTAGACAGTATAAGCTATGACAGAGAAAGATTTTAGATCACGACAAAAGATCACAGGCAAGAAAAGACTGCATACAAATTCAAATGAGTTGTTTGATATAGATGAATAGAAAACTGATTAACAAATAGAAACATAACAGTATCTGCTACTGTGTGAACATACTGTCACGAATTCATGTGATGCGACAGATTTGGTCCTGAAAATGTCAAAACACCAAATTAGAGATTCACAATCTATATCAGAACGCTTGCTTGTTAATTCAACCCACTTGCCAACAAACTTACTTGGCCGCCTTGGGCCGGGGGACCCCGACTGCAACGGTCTGCCTCTTCTGTCATTTTCATGCAATCTGTTCTCTAATGTTAGCTTTTTCTCCAAGTCGTTCAGTTTTTGAGTCAACGATTTCTTAGACGACATGTTGGATTCTAAGATCACATGATCGAAATATGCTTAGTGCGTGGTGGAGCTAGACACGAGTTGCAGTTTCGTAGTATTATGGAGAACAGCAAATTATTTCGTATGAAGCACTGCGTATTATATAATTAACGTTAAACACATAGACCCCTGCATCACGTTTTGCTTGTGTTACGAAACCCACCTTGAATTAACTTTACTTACATACGCATATAAATATTGAACAGAGTTGGCGTGCATCATTTGCGCACTATGGCCGCACGTGGTAACCTGGGAAAGCCAGTAGAATGTAAACATTGAATAGTTTGAAATGAAATGTATGGTTTCTTTAATTACATTCAGTAGAAAGGTCATGACATCGGCAGCAACAAGTACATACGAGTCCAACATGCATTCATACAAGGTGAGGCAATGTTTCGTTCAGGCGATCTGCATTGACGTTTGTCAACGCGGTAAATCTCCCTTTGAGCAGGTACCTGTCGGTCACATGACGCGATCACGTGATCTGTTGACCTTACACACGTGTTGACATGAGTATTGTCGCTGGCGACAGTAAGATTCTGTGTTGTTACGTAACTGTCACGATAATTGTAGGGCATATTGTAGCATGATGTAAACAAGCAAAGAACAACAGTTCTTAATGTCTAACGAACGCGCCGAACGACGAGGGTATAATGACAGCATGTGTTTGTGTTCTGAGGCATTTGACTGTGATGCCATGTCGGAAGAGCCTTTTATCAAGCATGGTGAAATCAGTTCCAGTCAGACACGTTTGGAGGGTGTGTGCTGTGTTTTTTTATTTGAACTGTTTGATGTTAGTTTTGAGTGAAACCTTGGCTATCGGAGATATTTCTATGCATTGAAAATAATGTCACCGCTTCATTCAACTATTGTCCATTGTCAATATGTGCGCACCATGCGTATATTGGCGTAATTGTCGATGATGCTCAGTGGTTGGTTGTTAAAGCGAAAAATGGTTGTTCACAGTGAGCAGCCTGATGGACTTGAATCAGGAGGAATTGTCGCTGCTTACAGAGACAAAGTCATCACAGATTTATCCAGTTTTCAAAAGCCCCTGCCCAGTCATATTTAGGCATTTAGGCACCGTTCATAATTATGGCCAGTGTACAATGTGACCCCCAAAAGTATATGTACAAAGTAAGTGACCCCACCCCCACACACACATTAATTATGAACGGTCCCTAACTAAGGCTTACATCTGAAGTGTTCTAACAAAAAAAATCCCTTTGTACTTGATGTGTTGTGTGACTGGGATTGAAGAATCTATATGTTAGTCCTACTATAAGTAAACTATTTTCTCCCCTTTTGTCTAGAGAATTGTTTTAAACTGCACCATTTTCCTATACTGTAGAGTTTCAAGTTCAGATTTGATAAATGAAATGAGAAGAATTCTTACCTTCTCCTCTTGATAACCCCAAACTAAACAGATGGGTTTCAATGAGTCAAGTTTAATATTAATTAATAGGTATGGTTCTTGGCTGATCTTAGGTTTATTTTTTTTTTTTTTTTTTGGGGTGAGACTTCAAAGAAAGTACTCCAAGAATATCCAAGAAGCCTAAAACATGTTGAATTATCTGTCCTGAGGGAAATATATTTATTTCCAATCTTGGTAAATAACTTAGAACATAGTTTCACAAGACTCTGATCATCTCTAAATCCAGTATGCAAGTACTTACAACATAGTTTCACAAGATTCAGATAATCTCTAACTCTATAAATCCAGTATGCAAGGACTTATAACATAGTTTCACAAGACTCAGATAATGACTAAATCCGGTATGCAAGGACTTTTAACATAGTTTCACAAGATTTAGATAATTTCTAAATCTAGTATGCAAGCAGGTAATGTTTTTTTTTACCTATATTATCTTTCTGAGTCAAATGGGGTTTTGTCACAAGCGGAGACGTCTCCCCCATCAGTCTAATGTTAGTATGTGACATAAGGAACAATAGAAGATGGCATCTTCATATATTTGAGACAATTTGGTGATATGATGATGCATTGCTGTTTGCCTTTTTAAAGCATGACAACCTCGTGACAGTGGGCACGAACCAGCCACAAAGCAAATATTATAATGTACCATGAGAATTACCAATACAATTTAATAACAGCTCTGATATTTTTGTTCCTCATCACGTTTTTACAGTTGATGTCTTAGGGGCATTTATGATGATCATGATTTATTTGTCGTATGCAGAAGAATAGTTCCTCTTTACTTTATGTGAAATCCTGCACCTAGGGAAATGAGTGCAAAGGAAATGCTGATTGCATCTGTAATGCATAAAATCTGTAAGTCTGTTGCAGGTATCTAACAATACAGACTGATACTGTTGCAGGTATCTATGAATAAACAGACTGAAGCTGTGGCATGTATCGCACAACAGCTACCTAACAATACAGACTGATACTGTTGCAGGTATCTATGAATAAACAGACTGAAGCTGTGGCAGCTATTGGGCAATAAACAAACTGATACTGTTGCAGGTATCTATGAATAAACAGACTGAAACTGTGGCAGCTTAGGGCAATAAACAAACTGATACTGTTGCAGGTATCTATGAATAAACAGACTGAAACTGGCAATAAACAAACTGATACTGTTGCAGGTATCTATGAATAAACAGACTGAAACTGTGGCAGCTATTGGGCAATAAACAAACTGATACTGTTGCAGGTATCTATGAATAAACAGACTGAAGCTGTGGCAGCTATTGGGCAATAAACAAACTGATACTGTTGCAGGTATCTATGAATAAACAGACTGAAACTGTGGCAGCTTAGGGCAATAAACAAACTGATACTGTTGCAGGTATCTATGAATAAACAGACTGAAACTGGCAGCTTAGGGCAATAAACAAACTGATACTGTTGCAGGTATCTATGAATAAACAGACTGAAACTGTGGCAGCTATTGGGCAATAAACAAACTGATACTGTTGCAGGTATCTATGAATAAACAGACTGAAACTGTGGCAGCTTAGGGCAATAAACAAACTGATACTGTGGCAGCTATCTAACAATAAACAGACTGAAATTGTGGCAGCTATTGGGCAATAAACAGACTGGTACTGTCGCAGTATCTAACAATAAACAGACTGAAATTGTGGCTGCAAGTCAACAATAAACAGACTGAAATTGTGGCAGCAAGCTAACAATAAACAGTCTGAAAATGTGGCAGCTATCCAATAATAAACAGACATACTGTTGCAGCTATCTAAGTAACAGTAAACAGACTGAAATTGTGGCAGCTAGCTAACAATAAACAGGCTGAAAATGTGGCAGCTATCCAATAATAAACAGACATACTGTTGCAGCTATCTAAGTAACAGTAAACAGACTGAAATTGTGGCAGCTAGCTAACAGTAAACAGACTGAAATTGTGGCAGCTATCTAAGCAGTAAACAGACTGCTACTGTGGCAGGTATCTATCAATAAAACAGACTAAAATCGTGGCAACCATTTGGCAATGGACAGACTGAATCCATGACATGTGTCACAATAAACAGACTGACTGGCAATAAACAAAATGAAACCTACAGGCCTCTCCGCATGTCACTGACTGATAAACATGGCCCCTGTCATCACTGGCTGTGGTTTACAGCCTACATTGATAAAGCTTCTGATAACACTACCGCAATCAACCTTATCAGCACTCCATAGCATGATCTATCAAACTCATTGTGAACAGTTGGGTTACTCATTCACTTGATTCTATAATTATAAATAGTGACTTCCAAAATAACCATTACACATGATTTTGAGGTTGCTAAATGGGATATGATATTCAAGTATGAAATCCTATCCACGATACAGACATCCATTTATTAGGTTATATACAACACTACACCTAGTCTCCAGACAATGTTTGTGTACACTATGTTGGGGCATGATTTCCTCAAGCTGAGGTCACCGTGAGTGTTGTAGGTAACACGATGGATGGCGGATTCCAGGTGTGTTCTTTGTTTTCGTTTAGGTGACAATAGTTTTATTATTAGATATACACATTTACAGCATGTTAAGATATTTTGTAACTCGTCTGACTTTGTCAACCACCAGGAAGAGGAGGCTGCTGCTGCTGCTGCTGAGAATATCTCCAGCACTTCATCCTTGTGTTATGGGGGTTGTGTGGTAGGCTAGTGGTTAAAGTGCTCGCTCGTGATGCGAACACCCAGGTTCGATTCCCCCATGGGGACTGGACAGGACATTGACCTATCACTGCTACAGTAAAGTCTCTCTTGGAAGAAAATTGTTGCATTTATAATGGCAAGCCGCTGCACCACTGATGTATGAAGTTCTGTGTGTTTACCGTCTCTAAAACTGCAACATTGAAAGTAGGTCATTGATCAGGTTCTGTTTGCCATCTTCTGATGGGCGTACAGAGAAGGAGCCTGTCACCTTTCTATTTTGTCAAGATGCAATTCTAAACACCATCATAGGGCCTGAAATATGACAATAGGTGAACACTTTGAAATTAAGGAGACAGTTGACATTTAGATTTTGGCATCTTTATTGTTTTAATGCGGTCAGTGTGGTTGCATTGGGGGAGGAAAGTCAATCCTCCAAAATGTAAAACAATGTACAAGCATGAAGGGAGGGTTTTATTTGCCATATTAAAAAAAGAATTCTTTATTTTGTTCATATTCGTTCATATCTGTCAACTCATTAACAAGGTTATGCATGATATGATGGACTTGCATAGACCTCATTTCATTAACAAGGTTATGCATGATATGATGGACTTGCATAGACCTCATTTCATTAACAAAGTTATGCATGATATGATGGACTTGCATAGACCTCATTTCATTAACAAGGTTATGCATGATATGATGGACTTGCATAGACCTCATTTCATTAACAAGGTTATGCATGATATGATGGACTTGCATAGACCTTATTTCATTAACAAGGTTATGCATGATATGATGGACTTGCATAGACCTCATTTCATTAACAAGGTTATTCATTGCCTCTCGTTAATGTCAGTTTTTGTTTACAGGATGCCATCCAGACACTGAATACACTCCAGTCAAATGCCGAGACACTGGCTAAAATTGCCACCACTCGAGATTCCCGTCGCCATCTTAACATACCGCACATGATAAACTACTTGAAACGATGTGATATAGAGGTAAGACATACCGCACATGATAAACTACTTGAAACGATGTGATATAGAGGTAAGACATACCGCACATGATAAACTACTTGGAACGATGTGATATAGAGGTAAGACATACCGCACATGATAAACTACTTGAAACGATGTGATATAGAGGTAAGACATACCGCACATGATAAACTACTTGAAACGATGTGATATAGAGGTAAGACATACCGCACATGATAACCTACAGTCCGTTTGAGACAAAATGAAACCGATGAATTGCAATCTAACACAAAAACAAAGAGACATAAGAGAATCAAACCAACGCGGACTGCAATAAAAACAACAGACCAACTCTAGAAAAAAAATGCATAATTTGTGTCACAAAAATAAAAAAGTTTTTTAAGAAACTCTCATCATTTATTTGTGCGTTTTCCCAGTTTGTTACACCACATTATTCGAGTGCGCCTCTTGCCTCACAAGCGTCGTTTCCTTTAGGCCAGATATCGGTTAGAGCGCCGCTTGTGACCAATTCGGCGCTTCCTACTAGTACTCCCGGTTCGGCGCTTACTACCGGTGTGTCCAGATCGGCGCTTACTACTGGTGATCTCGGTTCGGCGCTTACTACCGGATCGGCGCTTCCTCCCAGTGCTCCCGGATCAGCGCTTCCTCCCGGTATTCACGGATCGGCGCTTACTACTGGTGGTCCCAGGCCTGGTTTGGTGCTTACTACCGGTGCTCCAGGTTCGGTGCTTACTACCGGTGCTCCAGGATCGGCGCTTTCTCTCGGTGTTCCCAGATCGGCGCTTCCTCCTGGTATTCCCGGATCGGCGCTTACTACTGGTGGTCCCAGATCGGCGCTTACTACTGGTGGTCCTGGTTCGGCGCTTACTACCGGTGCTCCCGGATCGGCGTTTACTACTGGTGGTCCCAGATTGGCGCTTACTACTGGTGGTCCTGGTTCGGCGCTTACTACCGGTGCTCCCGGATCGGCGCTTCCTCCCGGTGTTCCCGGATCGGCGCTTCCTCCCAGGGTTCCTGGATCGGCGCTTACTACTGGTGTTCCCAGATCGGCGCTTACCTCCGGTTTTCCCGGATCGACGCTTCCTACTGGTTATCCCGGATCGACGCTTACTACCGGCATGCCTGATTCGGCGCTTCCTTTCGGTGTTCCCGGATCAGCGCTTCCTCCTGTTGTTCCCGGTTTGGCGCTTCCTCCTGGTGTTTCCGGTTGGGCGATTACTTCGGGAGGTTTTGATTCAGCACTTCCTTATGCAGGCTGGGGGTCGTCGCTTCCTCAGGGTGCCCCCAGTGCGATGCATACTCACAATGTTCCCGGTTCAGCGCTTCTTCACAGGGTTCGTGTTGCCCCGCTTACACATACTGGTCCGAGTTCGGTGTACCTCTCATGTATCGGGTTTGGCGCTTGGTCCTTCTCATGTATCGGGTGCGACCGCCGTTGGCATGGGGTGCCTAAATCAGCGTTCGACCTTGCCTCATCATACCTTGGTACCGCCTTCTGTTTCATCGGTTCCTCCTATATCGGGACTGGGGGCCAGACCCATGTTGCCGGTTTCCTGGAATCCGGGCTCTGAGGTTTCAAGTGCTCAACCTTTGGACTTTGATGCTATGGTACTAGCAGTAGCGTCAGCAGGTGCCAACTCCTCCTGCTCATCAGTCATCCCGTCTTTCAAGTTATCCAGCTCCTCCTTTACAAGAGGTTCATCATTCGTCAACGACATCTCCCTCGCCAGATGGCACGGCGATATCCGATGGTAGCGTCAATGCTGTAGACATGCCTCAACTACTTGTCTGGATTGCTGATAGTCTGCGATGACAGCGTAGTACCTCATCGGCGGGTTTATTATCCAGTTTTGACATGAAGCCAGGTGATTTTGGGTCTATCAGGAAGGTGAAGGACGCTCCCCGCCGCATCCGCCTAGTTGAGGATCGTGAGCTGTCCTGGTTGAGGATTTGATGGTGTCATACGGAAGGCAATAGCTCCACTCAACATGGTGTTGACGACTACCGAAGCAGTGGCTATGTCGCTTGCACATGCTACGTCCCATCAACAAGCGTATATTCGGGCAGCTATGGTCTTGTTGCAAGAGCAATTCTAGATCAGTTAGCCCACTTCTTTTCGTACATCACAGCTGTACGTCGCATGGGGCCATTGAACTTATCCTCTTGGGAGGATCGGTTCCGTACTGATCTTTTTCGGCAGCCATGGTCTGGCAGGTCTTTGTTTAACGGAGCTGTTAGAGATGTTGCTAACAGAGTGGGCCAGGACGCTCATTTACAAGTGTCAGTGGAATTGTTGAAGTTCCAGCATTTGCAAGTGGAGGAATCGTTGCGCCAACGAAGGCCAGGACGCTTCAGGGGTCAACTACAACTTCGTCCCTTGCAGTTCTTTCTAGCGCCTTACATCAGAGTGGGAGATCCCGTTGCCTTGATCACTCTACCTCTGCAGCTCAATCCCCATCTCCGGTGGTGGATGGAAGAATTGAATGTTTGCGACGGAGTTTGTTTAGGGCCGTTTGTTCCGTCTCACCACCTGTATGTGGACGCGTCTCTACACGGGTGGGGAGCTCATCTTCTCAATCAACAAGTGGCAGGGCAGTGGTCTCCCGGCGATCGCACCTGTCACATCAACGTTCTGGAGTTCAGGGCAGTGATGCTTGCAATCAGTCACTGGCAGGATGTCCTTAGAGCAACGTCCCTCATGATCCGATCGGACAACGCAGCGGTGGTTTGGCATATCAACAGGATGGGGTCCACGGGGTCTACTCAACTGCTACAGTGGACCCAACGGTTCTTCGATCTGGTGGACAGTCTCCACATCATGGTACGAGCCAATCACATTCCGGGGTGAAGAATGTCATCGCCGATTCTCTGTCTCGACCAAGTCGTCCCTCTCCAACGGAATGGAAATTGCATCCTCAGGTGTTCCAGACGATTTTGCCTTCCGTTGACGCCGCCGACAGTAGATCTCTTCGCCACACGCTTCAACCATCAGCTGCCTCGGTTTGTGTCACCGATTCCGGATCTTCTGGCTTGGGACCTCGATGCTCTAGCCATTCCATGGGACAACCTGAACGCTTACGCGTTCCCACCAGTGGCCCTTCTTCCTCGCGTATTAGTGAAGCTACGAGCAACTCAGAGGATAACTCTGCTTTTGGTCGCGCCCTATTGGCCGGCCAGAAGTTGGTTCGTAAACCTCCAAGACCTAGCCGAACCAGATCCCGTGCCTCTTCCCGTTCGACCCGATCTACTGGTTCATCCGCACTCCGACCAGCTCCATTGGTCTCCGTTGACGCTCCATCTGCACGTTTGGCGCATCTTCATCGGTCATTAACGGCTAAGGGCTATTCTAAGCGTGTAGCTACTGCCATTACCACAGCGCATCGTACTTCTACGAGGTCACTCTACGAGGTCACTCCACGATGACAAATGGAAGAATTTCGAAGCGTATTGCAGGAAGAAGGGCATCTTATCCCCCACTACGGCGTCCCCGCAGATGGTGGCAGAGTACATTCAGCATCTCCGAACCTCCAGAAAACTCAAAGGTTCTACGCTATCTACCTATTTGGCGGCTCTTAACACAGTTATTGCAGCGGCCTCGGGTGTGAAGGTGTCCACTGTCCCTGAACTCCAGTCTCTCCTCCGGTCTTACAAACTGGCTGACCAATCTCGGAAGTTCCGGCCTCCAGCTTGGGATCTTTCCGTTGTACTTGCTCATCTCACGTCAGCTGATTATGAACCTTTGGAGGAGAAAGATTTCGAACATGTCTCCTTTAAGACCTTCTTTTTATTGGCCTTGGCTACGGCGGCTCGTATTTCTGAGTTGCATGCTCTGGATGTCTCTTTTACAGTTTGAAAGGTCTAGACATGCGAAAGTTTTCCTTGGTTTTGCGGTGGGATTTCCTTGCCAAGAATCAGTTACCAGGTCAGCCGGATCGCACATTCACGATTCTGCCGCTGTCCACTATTTTGGGCCCAGGCGACACTGAGGATCTGTCCTTATGCCCGGTGCGTGCATTAAGGATTTACCTAGCTGCCTCGCAGGATCGCCGCAGATTGCGTAAGAGATTGTTCATTCCATTGTCTACTGCCTCCACCTCGGAAGTCTCCCGTACTACCTTGGCGTTTTGGATGAGAACTACGATCCTGCATGCCTATGCCTTTGCTGAACTGCCTCCACTGTCAACGGCGAAGCCCCATGAGACGCGTGCTCTTGCCTCCACCATGGCTCTTCACAGAAATTGTTCCCTGCAGTCCATCATGGAGGGCTGTTTTTGGCAATCAGATACAGTGTTGTTTCACACTACCTGAGGGACCTCTCAGTTACAGACGTGAAAGGTCTCCATCAGTTTGGCCCCTGGTCCTGGCGCAGCAGTTGTCATCGGCCCGTGTTCCAGATAAAGCAATCCTCCTTGGTCGGTTTTGCTTTGTACATAATAAAAGATATCGATGTTATCCATGTCTTAGTACTTTTTTCTCTTGGGTTTAGATCATTCTCACCTATGGGAATAGGGCGTGTCTGCACTGTCATAAGTTATGACTTGATAGACTGTGAGGCCAGTCTTGTGCTACATACAGAGATGATCGACACTCCGCTTACTGACCTCTACTCTCTGAGCAATTACGTCAGTGAAGTGTTGATTTCCGATTACCTACATGGTTTTCGAAGCGTTCTGCTCCTGAGTCCTTTCTCACCTTTGGTACGTTAGGGAGATTGGTACTGAACGTTAAACTAGTTGAGCATCCGAACTATTCCCTCTTTCACCGCCTTCCAGCGTGTGTCTGTGGGGGGTAGTTTCGAAGCAGGGACTGGCCAGATTAAGGTCCTCGACTTTAATTCACTGGGGTCACCTGATAAATCGTGGGGCGGCGGGGCCTACTTGCCAAACTGCGTCCTTTTGCTTGTCAAAAGTTGCGGCCGAAAACCACATTAATTCGGGAGCACCCACTCCCTAGAGTTTTTGTGCTGTGTAAGCCAAGGGGTTACATGAAGAAACCCATCTCAAGTTGGAGTTTGCATATCGGGAGTTGGTGCTTTCTCCTGGCCTCCTTGGGTTATGCGTTTTTCCTGGTGGTAGTAACGGGGTAATCTGCGACCCGCCTACCAACCGTGGGATTGTGCATACAGTGAGATAGGATAAGTTTAAAAATTTGTAAATTTTATTATAAATTGTATATTTATATACTTATCCTATCTCACGCGATAGGACCCACCCGACCTGCCCCACATCACAGATTACTAGAAGCTCCAAGACGAGAATGACAGGCACAGGTAGTCACATGATCATCTGAGCGAGCGGCACGCTTACAGAGATGATTGATGGGTGTTGATGTCGGAGCAAGAGGGCAGAGGTCAGGGCGGGCATCAGAGGCCAGCAAGATTTGATTCAACTTAGCCATACAGCACGAACACTTCCACACATGGTCGTAGAAGAAGAGAGAGGTGCATACAGTGAGATAGGATAAGTGACATATAAAATATACAATTTGAATCAATAGTTGGGCAAATTTACATATTAATGCATGTCCCTCGTCATTGGCTCTGTGTGCAGTGACATGCAGTTTATCTCTAAACAGCCACAACATTATTTCTTTATTTTGGCCCAGGTTCCATATTTTTTCCAGTTTATCTCTAAACAGCCACAACATTATTTCTGTATTTTGGCAGGTTCCAGGGTTCCAGTTTATCTCTAAACAGCCACAACATTATTTCTTTATTTTTGCCCAGGTTCCAGTTTATCTCTAAACAGCCACAACATTATTTCTGTATTTTTGCCCAGGTTCCAGACCTTGATAAACTGCAGGTCATTCACATCAGTGGGACAAAAGGCAAAGGATCAACCAGTGCATTCTGTGAGAGCATTCTTCGTCACCATGGTTACAAGACAGGCATGTTCAGGTAACTATTGTTAGTATTGTTATGAGCGTCAGAGTTGAACCAAAGTTTCACATCTGTCCACTGTGGGTTTCCATTGTATTTGTGTCTACGACATGACTTGGTGATTTGATCACTCCTCAATACAATGTGATAGTTTATTCCAGTACAATACATTTCTATGATTACACAATGCCATTTAGAAAGTAGTCAAATGTAACATATGAAAATTTTGGGAGTACACTTTCTTAGTAAAGTAGAGATTTTAGTACGTTTGTTGGGTTGAGTCCCATCCGGGATTTGAACCCACACCCTCAGAGTCAGGCACCTAATCGCCAGCACACTAATAGTGCTAACATTTTATCACATAATTTCTTATGTAGTTTGTGTTGCCATGGTTTCAGCTCTCCCCATCTGGTGACTGTGAACGAGCGGTTCCGTCTCAATGGGAGGCCTGTTGCTAAGGACTTGTTCAGCCAGTACTTCTGGGAAGTCTACAATAAGCTGGATACCACCAAGCATCAAGTTGAAGGCGTGAGTCAGACTACCAGATACACTTTGTCATTACCAGATAAACCTTGTCATCACCAGATACACTCTGTCATCACCAGATTCACATTGTCATCTCCAGGTACACATTGTCATCACCTGATAAACTTTGTCATCACCAGATACACTCTGTCATCACCAGATACACCTTGTCATCACCAGGTACACATTATCATCTCAAGATACACCTTGTCATCACCAGATACACTTTGTCATCAGCAGATACACTTTGTCATCACCTGATAAACTTTGTCATCACCAGATACACCTTGTCATCACCAGATACAACTTGTCATCACCAGATAAACCTTGTCATCACTGATACACTTTGTCATCACCAGATACACCTTGTCATCACCAGATACACTCTGTCATCACCAGATACACTTTGTCATCACCAGATACACTCTGTCATCACCAGATACACTTTGTCATCACCAGATACACCTTTGTCATCACCAGATACACTTTGTCATCACCAGATACACCAGATACACTTTGTCATTTGATCACTTTGTCATCACCAGATACACTTTGTCATCACCAGATACACTTTGTCATCACCAGATACACTTTGTCATCACCAGATACACCTTGTCATCACCAGATACAATTTATCATCACCAGATACACTTTGTCATCTCCAGATACACCTTGTCATCACCAGATACACTTTGTCATCACCAAATAAACTTTGTCATCACCAGATACACTTTGTCACCACCAGGTACACCTTGTCATCACCAGATACACTCTGTCACCACCACCAGATACACCTTGTCATCACCAGATACACTTTGTCATCACCAGGTACACCTTGTCATCACCAGATACACTTTGTCATCACCAAATACACTTTGTCACCACCAGATACACTTTGTCATCACCAGATCTGTCATCTTTGTCACTTTGTCATCACCGGATACACTCTGTCATCACCAGATACACCTTGTCATCACCAGATACACTTTGTCATCTCAAGATAAACTTTGTCATCAACAGAAAACTTTGTCATCTCAAGATAAACTTTGTCATCCACTGATACATCACAGATACTTTGTCATCACCAGATAAACTTTGTCATCTCCCAAGGCAAGGGGGTTAGAAAGTCTGCAGGGTTCACATGGGCTTAAAATGTCTTAAACGTTTGACATTTTACTATGAAAAGATTCGTTTTAGCCTTGTAAAGGCCCTAAAGCCTTATTGTTGAATTGGGCCTTGAAAAGAGGACCTAAATTTGATGTCTGATAGTCTGTATGAAGCCTGGTCAGGTTTGTAAACAACAGGGCAACTGCTGTGATAATTTCAACCAATAGCAGGATTTGAGTCAATCTTGGACATGAACAGATGTTAATTTTTTTTGTCATGTTTCTTTTTTGTAATCAGTTTTGCTGGAATAATGTGGAAATGTTGATGTCGTTAATGTGGAAAGACCCGTTTTAATACGATGTTGTATTTGAAGAACAATCGGATTGCCTTGACTTGACCACCATTTTGTTTGAAGGAAATGCAAGTGATGTGAAAGGTCTTGTGATTGGTCAGTAGGAGTGACATTACTCGTAACTGTGGTGGTGTCATTACAATCAAACCACTTATTCAAAACCGGACTAACATTGTCAGTTAACCCCTTGCTTCCTGAAAAACTGTGTTTAATAAAAGATCAATTTGTTGCTTACCATTAACATTTTGTAAATTTGAATATATTTCCAATCTCCAACTCACATTTGTATTGTGACTCAAACGAATGGAAACACTTGTATGCAAGTCATTAAATTTCCTGACAATAATCGACCCGTGAAGATCCGGGGTAGAATAGGTCTTCAGCAACCCATGCTTGCCACAAAAGGCGACTATGCTTGTCGTAAGAGGCGACTAACAGGATCAGGTGGACAGGCTCGCTGATTTGGTTGACACATGTCATCGGTTCCCAATTGCGCAGATCGATGCTCATGCTATTGATCACTGGATTGTCTGGTCCATACTTGTTTACAGACCGCCGCCATATAGCTGGAATATTGCTGAGTGCGGCATAAAATTAAACTCACTCACTCACTCCAGACAATAATCATGCTGATAATACAAGATAATACTGGCAGATAGTACCAATAACTTGCAAATTGTGAAAGTCAAGTTAAAACATCAGACTCACCTTTGGTAGACCTTTTTTAGCAATGACTTTTTTTTCTCAATAGGATCCTGATGCTCGTCAAATGCCAGCGTACTTCTCGTTCCTTACCGTCATGGCATGCCACATGTTCCTGAAGGAAAACGTTGATGTGGCCATTTTTGAAGTGGGCATAGGTGGAGAATATGATTCTACCAATTTCCTCCAGTCGCCAGTTGTGTGTGGAGTTACCTCCCTTGGATTAGATCACACATCAGTCCTTGGAGACACGATAGACAAGATTGCTTGGCAGAAAGCAGGGATTTTCAAAGTAATAATGAATGGATGTGGGCATTGAACTCTAAAACTAAACTAAATCTGTTTAATTAACATGATAGAGGCTACATATGTCAAGTTTCTTTTTGACTGGATAATCTCTTACCAAACTGTCATGATATACAATACGTTCCTGTACATTAGCCTGATCAACATGTGGGGTGGTAGTCTAGTGGTTAAAACGTTCGCTCATCAGGCTGAGTGAGTTTGATTTATCTTGGAAACTCTTGGAAAATATTAAACCCAGTCTATACTTATATGTTACATGTCTGTAAAGCTTGAAAATTCTTGAGTCTCTTGGAAAATCCTGCTGGTCGGTGTTGGATTATTTGGTTCTGGAACTGATAACATTTTGACCTGTGAAGATCACAGGTGTTCAGCAACACCAGTGATATCTGTCCAGTAATCAGGTCACTATAGAACTGAATGAAAACTTATTTTAGGGGATTTAGAAGTTAGATGAACTTGGATAAATGACACGTTTTATGGAAAATGACTTCTTTTTATTCCCAATACAATGTTTAAGAGCTAATGCATGCTCCATCATCATTCACCTGATGAAAAAGCAAGAATTAACTCTGAAACGTTAAGAATAATATTATGCTGTTTTCCATAACATGTGTCAAGTATTCATGAATGAAAACTCTTGACATTTGAAATCATTTTAAGACTGTAACTATTGCCACTGTTGTATTCTATGTTGCCATGGTTACAGCATAACGCTCCCGCTGTCACAGTTCCCCAACCACCGCAGCCATGAGTGTGCTTCTCAACAGAACAAAGGAGAAAGGGGTAGGTCAGCCTAGGATGTTTATTCATAAGCTCCAGAGAAGCACTGAAACCCAGTTTTAGGCAGTATATGTGCATCCTTTAGTTGTTGTGAGCAAAAATGTCACATTTCTTTTCCCATCAAGATCAGACAGTAGCAGAGGATATAAACCACTTCGCCTTCGTTGTTACATCCTTCTGTTGTTGTCATCGATTTATACAAGCAGTTTCACGGGCATTCTCCAAGAAATCCTGGGGATTTTCTGAAGGTTGTAACATATGTTATATTTGGGATTACACTTTCTTAGTAAAGTACAGATTCTAGTACTTTTGGGGTTGAGTCCCATCCGGGATTTGAACCCTCAGAGTCAGCCTAACCCACTCAGCCACTGCAACTTTTGAAGGTTGATACAACTTTGTCCTGCTATTACTGAATACGTAAAATATCACATTATTTGCATATGGCAATGCAGTTTCGATTCAACACATAGGTACAATGGGTGAAGCCTATTTCTGGTGTCCTGTGGGGCGGTGGGGTAGCCTAGTGGTTAAAGCGTTGGCTCGTCACGCTGAAGACCCGGGTTTGATTCCCCACATGGGCACAATGTGTTAAGCCCATTTCTGGTGTCCCCCGCCGTGATATTGCTGGAATATTGCTAAAAGCGGCGTAAAACTAAACTCACTCAGTCAGTCAGTCTGGTGTCCTGGAACATGATATTGCTGGAATATTGCTAAGAAGCGGCTCAAAACTAAACTCACTCACTCACTCTTTCAAATGAATTTCTGGGGATGTTCTGACGAATATTTATTATTTTTACTCAATATGTCACTAAGGAATAAAAATTCCTTATATACCTTTTTCAGTTGCTGCTTGTTGGCTGCAGAGCTATGTGTCAAAGACAATGATCTCTAAACGATTTCTCTGACTGCAGGCTAGTCTGTACGTGACGCCTTCCCTGGACTCTTACAACAATGGGGAGCCAGTCCACCTGGGTATTGCTGGCAACATGCAGCGGTACAACGCCACCCTCGCGCTGCAGCTGTGTAGAATATGGCTGGACAACCACAGAAAAGGTATGCACTGGAGCAGGTTGCTGCATGGAGGCCTGAAGTAGTGACTCGACTACCACGTGAGGTCTGAGCAGGTTGCTGCATGGAGGCCTGAAGTAGTGACTCAACTACCACGTGAGGTCAGAGCAGGTTGCTGCATGGAGGCCTGAAGTAGTGACTTGACTACCATGTGAGGTCTGAGCAGGTTGCTGCATGGAGGCCTGAAGTAGTGACTCGACTACCATGCGGTCAGAGCAGGTTGCTGCATGGAGGCCTGAAGTAGTGACTCGACTACCACGTGAGGTCAGAGCAGGTTGCTGCATGGAGGCCTGAAGTAGTGACTCGACTACCATGTGAGGTCAGAGCAGGTTGCTGCATGGAGGCCTGAAGTAGTGACTCGACTACCCCGTGAGGTCTGAGCAGGTTGCTGTGCATGGAGGCCTGAAGTAGTGAGTCGACTACCATGTGAGGTCAGAGCAGGTTGCTGTATGGAGGCCTGAAGTAGTGAGTCGACTACCACGTGAGGTCAGAGCAGGTTGCTGCATGGAGGCCTGAAGTAGTGACTCGACTACCACGTGAGGTCTGAGCAGTTTGCTGCATGGAGGCCTGAAGTAGTGACTCGACTACCACGTGAGGTCAGAGCAGGTTGCTGCATGGAGGCCTGAAGTAGTGACTCAACTACCATGTGAGGTCTGAGCAGTTTGCTGCATGGAGGCCTGAAGTAGTGACTCGACTACCACGTGAGGTCTGAGCAGTTTGCTGCATGGAGGCCTGAAGTAGTGACTCGACTACCACGTGAGGTCAGAGCAGGTTGCTGCATGGAGGCCTGAAGTAGTGACTGAGCAGTTTGCTGCATGGGAGGCCTGAAGTAGTGAGGTCTGAGCAGTTTGCTGCATGGAGGCCTGAAGTAGTGACTCGACTACCATGTGAGGTCTGAGCAGGTTGCTGCATGGAGGCCTGAAGTAGTGACTCGACTACCACGCGGAGGTCTGGAGCAGGACTCCACTTGCTGTGAGGTCAGAGCAGGTTGCTGCATGGAGGCCTGAAGTAGTGACTCGACTACCCCGTGAGGTCTGAGCAGGTTGCTGTATGGAGGCCTGAAGTAGTGAGTCGACTACCACGTGAGGTCAGAGCAGGTTGCTGTATGGAGGCCTGAAGTAGTGAGTCGACTACCACGTGAGGTCAGAGCAGGTTGCTGCATGGAGGCCTGAAGTAGTGACTCGACTACCACGTGAGGTCTGAGCAGTTTGCTGCATGGAGCCCTGAAGTAGTGACTCAACTACCATGTGAGGTCTGGGAGTAGAATGTGTCCCTGAGACCACGTAGACCCAGCAATCTCTGGGTTGTGCTCTGGATGATTGTGTTCCCAGCTCCCCATGTGGTCCTATATAAAACC